TTGAAGGATATGGTAGCGAACCGACAGAATTGGCGTTCTTGTTGTCATTTCTTATCAGACCAGAATGCTTGAAACGGTATGTATGCTGAGTTTGATCGTGTACCCTGTGTTGAGGTTCGCCTTCTTCCCCCGAACTCCCCTAAATAGGTCCAATCCCTATCCACCCTAAATATTACCACTGACCTTGTATGCATTGCGAGTTTTGCAGCGATCAGTAAAGTCCCTTCACCGTATTTCGCTGTGCGATGTTGACGACCCGTTTTTAATTTAGATCTCGTTCGGCATCTACCTCAGTTACCAGTGATCCTAAGATCAAGAGCTACTCTCTAAAGAGCGGACGGGAACCATTACGTGACTTCAAGGCCTCGAGAAAAACCTGTCAACTCGGCAGCGGTACTTGAATTCCGGGACTGAATCCATCAGTCGAATGGACAATGAGCCACTGGCAAGTGAACATACACATCTTTAGCTCGTAATCCACACTTAGTTGGAGAATAATTTGAGGTGCGGTCTCGAAACGAAAATGTGACGCTGGGGACCGTTAATACCCTAAAATCTAACTACTGATCATTCATCAAACTGAGTAGCTACAACAGCAACTGCTGCTTCAGGAAGNCAGGAAGGTCGGTCCTCGGTGATTCGTCGCGATTTGGTTGACTGCATCTCGCTGTACGGTTATGATGATTTTGGCCGAATAAGATATCAATATATGAAGATGAAGTTGTGCATGAACAGATGTTCCGTAAAAGCCACGGATAGTGACGGTGAAATGGGTAATAATCCAGTAGATCGGTTACCATCGAAAAGTGGCTTACAACCTGACTTAATAAAAAGAATACCAATGGGGAAAGAACCTCACGGGTCGCGATACAACTCACCTGAATGGCATCCAGATTCCCACTTCCTTTAAGTCTCAGAACAGCATCAACAGCCAATTTAGCGAAGTGCTCTTTGTGCTGATACAAAAGCTTTGAGCTCAATGTAGTTCTAGCTATATTCATCAACTTCTCACGAAAAGCGGGATCCGAATGACTTTCGACTTTCTCTTTGTTGTGTTCCACGGCAACCGAATTTAGAGCTGCAATCGCCAACTTTGACGCCTCACGCCATCCTTGCACAATAGTTTGGGGATGCAACTTTGCATTAATCAGTTGTTCACCTTCCTGAACGAAAAATTGAGGAAAGTAAATAGGATTTTTGAAATGTTTTTTTTTCTTTAAAAATATCAACAAAAAGATAGCTTGAGAACCCAAAGTGGTTTGATAAGAAAGCACCAAACAGATTAGACGTTTGGACAAAAGGAAGTAAGCGTTATTATCATGAGGACCCGCTATTCAGCCCGAAGGGCTAGGATCCGGAAAGGTGAACAGGTGCTATTTTCATTGAGCGTGGTAACAAGCTACCTATCTACAATCAAAATGACATGTTTCATATCGAAGGGCAAGTGAATTTGAAACTTATTAATGATTCACACGTTGCAAGTTTCCATCGAGCAATAAAGACGAATCAACTTCAGGTGTGATAGGTCAAATGCTAGCTCGAATCGACAGGCTACGATCAAAAGCTCATCGGAGAGCGGGATCTCATTATAAAGCCCCGGGATGTCATCTCGTAATGGTACTGTATAAAACACAGATCTGCGATTCAATGATCCTGTTCAGATTACTGTTTTCGACACATTATCTGGAGTAGATGGATACAGCAAGTTCACCTTTGTCTTCTTTTGTTGAATGCGGAACATAACCACCTGGGCATAAAATTGATTCATAAACACGCTAATGGATTCAACTCAATTTCTATTGCTCCTGTAACAAGCTTCAAAGGATTGGAGCCAAAGTGATATAAATAAACTCCGCATCTGTTCACAGAAAGGGTGACATTTTTCATCTCCAATAGTATAACAAACAATGAGAGAATCATCAAAGAATGACTACAGACTGATGGAATGGCTAGTAATAAGTAGGCAGAACCAAAGAGAAATGTGGCAGTCAGGGATATTTCGTGCTTTCCCATGGGACACTGATCTTTTTAACTGACGTAATCTGTTTGCACCCATTTTCATATACATATGCTAATGACGACATATTGTCCAATGGTTAAAAGAGCTCTCCAGTTTTTTCGTATTGGATCGTTAAACATTTTACAAAGGGTCTGATCTTTTGTCAACGATCAATTTAAATGCAAACAGAACATAAGGGTCATTGCACAAAATGCAGCAGGATGTTCAGTTTACCACCGTATTGATATACGATAACGCAGTTCCGTGCCAATCGTTCGCTCTTCATGCATGGTGTCGCGTATAACGAGACTACCTGCATCTCACACTAGGCGTTGCAAATTTGTCACGGGCAAACAGCGCATCTACCAGCTGATGGGTCTACTTCTGTGCACACAGCGAACAGAGCTACCGTGGTTCAATTTGACGAGTATTGTCATTATGCGGGCTGTGATAAGGCTGTAAAACTTAATCGCACGCTTGCTGAGGTGCCAGTTAACTCGGTGACTTTGTTGAAGGAAACAACGTGAATAAATTACACCACTAATGATCTTCGATTAAATGGGAACACCCGGGTTTAGTTTGGTTGGGAATGGAGCCGCTGTTCTGAATAGAATACCAACCGTGATTGGGCATATTTCACTGAGACTTGTACATAAACCACTGATGTACTCTATTCGACCCGGAAGAAAAATAAATCGTTTGTAAACAAAGGGAAAAGAGTGGCCATCAGGTGCTCATCGATTGTCTCGCCCACGGCTGTCACCAACACTTCGAATGATCAAACAATGTTATGAATGAAGCATGAAAATAATTCCACTGCAAGCGCTTAGTACAGTGTGCATCTTGCCTTATAAGTGAAGTTCTTTCACTAAAGGCTTCCGGCGAGTTGATAACGATTTTCACTGCCGTCCAAAGACCCCAAACCTCCACATCTTGTTTCTGCTTCAATGATCGATATGCTTAAGTGATAGGTATTGTCATAACGGTAACCAAAGGTGTCACTGTAACCAGCAGTCCTAGAACATGGGTGTACGATCTCGACAACCTGGTGCCATCCTGTTCAAACGTGTAACGCGCAATGCTGATTAGGTGTTGCCTCTGCAATAGCACGTCAGTTAAATATTGTCCTTGCTCTCAGAATGAGAACTGTTCCGATTAGTGCAGCATGCGCTTGATGATTTTCGGATGATCATATATCGCTATGATGGCAAGAATTGTTTTAATTCGGTTTACATCTAACAAACCACAGTGCATGAAACATTAAAGTCAAAATTCATCAACTGAATGACGTGTAACAACTCAGGCAGAAAGTTTCATAGTCTGTTGTATCCATTAGTCTGACAATTTTAAGTGAAAACGACACGGATCAGTTGCAGTATTTTACATTTTCATTAACCGTTTCAGCAAACCACAGTTGATTTGCCTAGGGGAAACTGGTTACACTAACGGCTCCCGGAAAAGCCAAGAATAAACTTCGATATAGACACACTTCATGAGTGGCAGTACATCAAACACTCATTTCGCTTAAATTGACTAAACAAACCCTAGTATTCAGAACCATATTTTGTGATAAACTGCAGACGGAGTGGACCCTAAACTCGAAGAGCTGCAGCTCCGTGACGGAAACCGTCAATCCTAGTCCTGGGACTTAGAGTGGTGAACCCCCTAAGGCCCCGGTAGGTTAGGTGTAGTACTGCACTGAACGCCAGAAAAACTGTCTACCACAAAGGTTGGGTGGCGGCATCATCATTGTACAGCGTAATACAGTGAAGCGAACTTCACTGATCGCTGTTAAACTCGCAATATATTCAAGGTAAGTGATAATGTGTAAGGAGGACAGGGATTGGACCTATTCTTAGGGACGGGAAAAGAAAGTGAACCTCTATGGTCAACACAGAATAAACAGTCCAGCTGTGCATACATATTATTTCAAGCATTCTGGTCTGATAAGAAGTGACAGCATGATCGCCATTGCTGTCGGTTCACGGCCATGATCTTCAGTGTTTTCAACCACGCGGTTTCGGAGTCTTTTGGACTCCAAGCCGGAAGTCGAAAGACCTACCTAATCGCTCTGTGCATTTCGTCATGCCTCGTCTCCACGTCATCTGCTTGCCTCCATGTGGCTTTCTCCAGCCTGTACCAGCCACTACGAATAAGGCGCGCTGCAGTAGGCGGCCGTCGGACATACACAACACGCGTCCTAACCAACGAGGCCTATTGAGCTGGATTCGATGTGATAGCGACTTCTTGTTTGAGGTATTCCCAAACACCCGACTACTTCTTTCTAAGTTACTAAGCCACTCACTCCCACTTGGGCCCGGCTACGTAGGCATCGATTGNAAACGGCGGATGTCATCTACCCGCAAGTTCAAGGTCTCACAACCGTACAGCAGAACTGACCGTACAGTGGCACAGTATACGCAACTTTTCAACCTCTGTGAAACGTCACGTCGCACCGCAGGTGTTGAAGTCTTGTGTATGCTGCTCGAGCCTTGGAAATGCAGGCGGTTATCTCCTTTGATGCGCTATCGTCGTTGGTCACGCAGCTAATTAGGTACGAGCAGTCAACTACAGCTAATTCCACGGAGGTTTGCGCAGTCGTTACGAGATTCCATCTTAAGGGCTTGGCTGCATGATCGAACTTCTGCTGCAGCAGGAGGTTCACATGACGCTTCCCACGGAGCCGCAACTAAAACAGACGATATAATCTGGTTAGCACCTGGCCAGCTGAACTGTTCAATGAAGTACTCCGCCCATCGTTCAGGCCGTTNCGTTGTTCCCTATTGTGAACAGTTTGTCCACTTCTGTCGCAATTGTTTCACTAACTGTGGTTCTCCGACTTCCAGTATTGCGTATCAGCTGGAACAGTCTTTGACTGTTCCCTAATGCAGCTGTAACTTCCATTTCACTAGCTACCGTTGCCCAGCAGTTATCACGACCTTTCTTGAGGCTCTTCTTAAGTTGTCGTTGCAGACGCCACCTACCCCTACCTTGATCCTGGGTGATAGGGCTTTGCCGCTTTTTCTCCATCAGTGCTACTGAATCATCAGATATCCAATGCTTCGGGCGGGCTACCGCTTCAGACTCACAAGCAACTCTTGCAGCGGAGTGCATTGCTCGTCTAATCTGATCCCATTGTTCATCCACACTACCACCCCGCCGAGCGTTTAGCTCTTGCCCTAGTTTTGATTCAAAATAGGCACGAACGGCGGGACCAGATAAACGATAATCTGACAACCGTGTTGGGTGGGTCTGTTGTGACCAGTGAGTTGGAGTGAACTGCACCAACACTAATGCATGATCAGATTGGAACTTCGGACCGCAGCACGTCAGTTATAGCGACTAAACCATTGCATCACCATTACTCCCAGTTTACCATATTTTAATCTTGGATCGAATTCCTGCGCATTTCAACACCACCATGACGGTGAACAATAATACGAGTTTATGTATCTAACACCATCAGTAAAACTAAAAAAACTACCTAAAACCAGCTTCATACCCTGTGTTCTTTGATAAGCAAGCCCGCTTCACTGAAATGGAAGCTATTGTGCTTACAGAAGCTATGCAATACAATACTCTCACAACACAACACCAACGAATCAAATCGTCTCAAACCATCGATTCGTTATCGCTGATAATGGTTTCACCAACTGCATCGTACCCAAAGATGAAGAATTATTCCACCATAAAACACATTTGCTTCAAGTCACAAACAGGTTTTCGCTCATGCTGTTGGTCTAAGTGGAATTCTTATTTCTATATGAACTGCCACTCATTTCCATCTCGATAGCAAAAGCTTCCGCAGCTCAACGTCGTATTTACAAAGTGCGAGGTTCGGATCCTGCCACCATGAACTCTGTGGTTTCCCAAGCGAAGTCCTAGGGTTTAGACTGCCGAGTTCCGTAACCATAAGGTGACAACAGGCTAGCATGTGAAAGCAAATAGAATGGAGAACTCAGTGTGGTAGAACTTACTCTGAGAAGCTCCGAAGCCAAAACGGTCACTGAGGTGGTGCCATCGCCGACTTCGTCGTCCTGAACTTTGCTCATTTCTACAGAAATAGTTCAATAATTTTCACCAGAGACTTACCAACCAAAATTTTCGCTGCTGGGTTATCCACACCAATGGATTTCAAGATTGTGGCACCGTCATTTGTGACAACGACGGAATCCCCGGAAGAGAGCAGGATTTTGTCCATCCCTTTAGGTCCCAGAGTAGTTTTAACAAGGTCTCCAATGGCTATGGCACCAACAAACGAGGACTGGAGGAAATCGTGAGACAAGTGACATCACGACTTACCAGACGAGCTGTCTCTGCCTTCTCCTCATCCGCACCAGCACTGAGAACGGAGATTGGTTGTAAAGAAAGCTAAAAAGATACAAGATAAGCATAAGGACTGCTGAAGGCAGCTTCACAACTCAAGAGCTTGCAATTCAATATCGGTGCTACGAGACATGGTGGTGAGTAGTCGCATTTGAAGAGACAAAAAGGCCAGATATGCATCGAAAGTAACTCTCTTTAGTTTTGTTGTCGGTGGGATCAATTGTATGGACTATCTCACATCGAACATATCTAGTAAAGAGCCCATAAATGAACCATCTTCCACATGCGCCTCATTGGTCCGAAAAATGTATATTCTTACACATCGATTGGCGATTCCCAGCCGCAACCATGTCGGCTTTTCGTTTAGCTTGTGTAGCAATACGACTGATCTAAGAGATCATACGTCCTTTATTCTACCTCCTTTTACACCATCGCCTCTTGGTCACCAAGGTTTATTAATCAGTATGCTAATCCCTCAAGTTGATGTATGTACTGCTCATCTACATTATCTCATTGAGGCGCGCTTAGCCCTGGCTCATGGCGTGCACAAACTGTGGGAACCGAATCGATGATGAGCCACCCGAGTTTGCTGGTTTTTCCTGCCGGTCAGTCAGTCGGAGTGAAATGCATCAAAACTAATGCGTGATGAAAATCAACGCAGGTGGTCCAATACGACCTGCAATTTAGCACTGAGCCAAACTAACAGTAGCTTGCGGTTGTGGTAGATCTGAGTTAGCGTAGCAGTCAAATTGGAGCGCCACGTTGCTGCCCGTTCAGAGCTGTCGGGAGTTGGTACTGGATGGGAACATATGATGATCTGCGCAGAATTGAAGAAGTCGATCACCGTTATTTGTTCGTTGGCAGGGCAAGCCTCCGTATGGTGGGGGTGGGTGCCCTACTCACTGCCTCCTTGTGGCGGAGCTGTTTTCGCACCAAAGTGAGAGGACGAAGAGCCGACATCCGGGGCTATAACCGGGTTGGTCATCGAAGTGTATTGGGCATCTTGGACGTTTGACCCCGTCCGAAAGGCATATGGTCCGATGAACGGGACACTGGCTCCCAATGGACTGCGGTTTTTACACCACCCCGTTGCCTTGTGGGTCAGGCTTTGGCTAGTCGAAGGCTCCGTTTGTGGATTCCTCAAGAAAATTCAACTGCCTTGGCCTGGACAACCTGGTAGTATTCAGACCATATGCAGATCATGGAACGTTTTGCTTGATATGTTTGGCACAGTCTGGCGTCGGACGTGTGTGGTAGTTATACATATAAATATATACATATATATATATATATATATCGCAACTTGCGTCAGCAAATCACCCGCCGTGGCAACCTATTTGGTGACATGCGTAACACAGGCCCCAATCAACGTAATCTATGGAGGTCGACCACTTGCTGCAGTGGACGACTGCAATTACCTCTACAC